GGATCATCTCCGAAGAAGAAGACGTCTTTTAGGGTGTAGAAGCTAGGGTTCGTCTCTTTACTGCGTACGCGCGCCAAATTCAGGAACGGATCAGAGAGCAGGTAGGCAACACTCACCCCTGCTTCCTGGCTTTGGCACTTCAATGTGCGGTATGTCAGCTCGTCCAAATCCTCCTCGGTCCAGCCCACGTGTAGCAGTGCCACTCGGGCCTCATGCTCCAGCTGCTGGTTCGCCTCCCAGCAGGCCTCCGAGAACTTTTGGATCAGCTCCTTCTCGGCCAGCAGCTCCTTCCTCCTCCTCTGCTTGCTGTGGGCGGTGGCTGCCCGCGCTTTTCGGATGGCCAGGACGACGAGGACGGATACAACCAGCACACACCCCGTGCTCGCCAGGACAGTGACAAGAGACACCCCGCTGAAGACCCACAACAGCATCACTGACAAGATAATGGCTAGCATGAGGAGAAAATACAGCAGCATTGGAATTCGGCAAAAGGTGATGTGCATCAATTCCCACCAGAGCGGGAACCGTGCGTAGCCCGCTATGTTGCACATCTCGTCGATGTTGAACATCTCCTTGTTCTCCTCCTCGCAAACGATCAACACCTGCATTCTCCGAAGGCTTCGACTGCTCGAAACCGCCATATTGTGCGCTTTTAGCTCACCTAGAAACACCTGACGCGCATCACCGGTAATCCCACTCGATTCGAGGAACTGCCCGCCTGAGACTCTCCCACGACCTTGAATTTCAGCGGCCTGGCTGGCTTGTCTAAGAGCCGGCACCCAGATAGGTGCACTCGAAGCGTTGGCAGCTGCTGTGCCCGGTTTGTGCTCAGGTGCAAACAGTGCTTGTTGCAGAAATGAAGCACCAAGCCTCCTTTCTCGTGGCTCACTTGCAGCAAATAAAAGTTGTGCTGAATCCGAGAGCCAAGCGAGATCAGCCCAAGGGCGAGCCAGAAATGAAAGTTCAGCGCATGAATCAGATAGAAGACATTGAAGAGACACTCGGATCGGTCTTCCACAGACCCTTGATACTCCTCACACACCTCGCAGCTGGAGTTCCGCATCCTGGTGCCTAAAGGGCACATCTTGCACCTGTTCCTCCCCGCATCGAAGACTTGCCCTGTTCCGCATCTGAATTTGATCATGTTCAGATCGATATCGACCGTTGCAACACCCCAAAAAAAATGCTCCCCGAGAGGAGTCTGCAGCTTCCTGTTCTCCGGCATGCCAAAGGGCAAGTCCATCCCTGCCGGCGCCGTCACCTTTGGCACCGGGGTGCTGCGGGTGAAGGGCACTGAATAGGTCACCATCTCGATGTTGCCGGCCCCCTAGACAATCACTGGGCGTTTGGGTTCCAACGAACCAAGAACCAGAACCCTCAGAAACACCGCCGAAAGAGCTGGCCAAAGCTGAAAAAAGCCGGGGACCCCTGCCTCATCAAAGTACGGAGACCCCCACATCCCCGTCAGGAACTCCATGCCTCCCTCCAGAAAGTGTGACCGACATGCCTCAAGAAGTCCGAAGCAAAGGACATCGCAGGAGGGTCTTTTGCCAGAATCTTACTCACATCAATCCCTGAAGAAAAGAGAAAGCCATGGCAAAAAAAAAAAACTATGCCAAAAAAAACTAACCAAAAAAAAAACCTCCTGATCGTCCGGGCATGGCGCGTGGTACCACTCCTCGTTGGGGCCGAAATAATTATAGGCGTTGGCCAAGTCCATGGAGATCCCGGTTTGGGTCACGTAGGGCCCGTAAAGCACCCGCTTCTCTCCATGCCAAAGCTCCGTTTGGGGCAACGTCCAGGGCTCCGTCAGGTTGGCCCTGGTTTGATCGGGTTTCGAAGGGCTTGCAGGTTCTCAGATCGAACCCCAAACTGAACCCATAGCTGAATTTTCCCCAGGCTTGCCCCAAAAACAAAGTCCATATTTGTTAAACAAAAAAAAAAAAAAACTTCTTCAAACGGGCGCCAAACCAGAAAAAACGGTGTTTGTCCCTGGCTTGTACCCCTTCTCTGTCCGTAAAACCCGGTTCGGTATTTCTACCCCCCGGCCAGGTGGAGCCGTTTCCGCTGCTCACCCCGGAGCTGAGCGCCGGATGTTGCGGGCTCACAGAGCCAGAGCTGCTGTTCCAGGGGTAGCTGTCCGGCTCAAAAGCGATGGCGCACCCGAAGATCGCCTCGCGGATTCGTGTCTCGCGGAGGTCTTTGAGAAAAGGGCGCGCGCTCTTCAAACGAAACGCGCGAGAGGCGAAGGCTTTGGGGTGAAAAAGGGAGGTCAAAGGGACACCACGGGATTCTTGTGGGGCTCCCCTGTCCCATATTGAGAGGAGATCGAAGCATCTAAAGTGCCGTCGAAGCAGAAGCGGGTCAAAGGGAACTTCCCCCGTGATGCCCCAAAAAGTATCGATACCGAGCACATGTTCAAAAGCATTCAATTCAAGAAACCACTCACACACACACAACACACAACACACTCACCACAGCATGGTATCACTGAACAACTTGTTGCTTGCAGCGCAAAGGCTGCAGCTGCGCAGAAAAGAGAATCCTCATTGTCTTGCAGCACACGTCAAGCGCAATCCTCCCCGAAAAAATAGCAGGCGCGGGTAAAGGCAAAGCACCAATCTCCAAATTGGTGGGAACCTCAAATAGGCTGGTTTCCATTGAAAACAACTAAAAGAGGACCCATAGTGAAGATCGGCCCTCCAATGTAGCTCTTTCGCTGACGATTTCAGTGACGGGTTCTGACAAGACTTGCCTTCATGACCATTTGCTGCATGTCGGTGGCGATTCTTGGGCTTAAAGTGTTTTTTTTCCGCTTTATCTCTTTGAGCTTTCCTCAGGAACTACGGGTATTCTACGCTTCTAAAGCAAGCTTTCATATTGCTTGTGAACACTTGAACTGAATCCAACCACGCTCAATCAATACGTTTTCACGCTTCTGATTTGAAAGCAAGGTTTGCTGGTGTTGTCAACCACTAGAGTCGGTGAAAGCTGTTCTAAGATATCAGAATGCTGCAAATGTTGAGGAGTTTTCAGGGAAAGACAGTGTCAAGACAGTATCAAGGTATGGGCCTCGGACCCTGTGAGGCACCTTGCCTCTGAAGGCACGCCACAGCATTCTGAGCGCACCAAAGGGGTAGAAAACAGAAGCATACGAGGCGTACCGTTTGAATCAACCGCAAGGAGCATCACCTGTCACAGGAAAAACCTGCGCTGCGGTTCGGACGCGAAGTGAAAAACAAGGAACTCACCGGTTCATGGCAAAATGGGTCGGCAACCTGCCTGGGACTGAAGGAGGTTTGTGTGCAAGAGTTTCAACAGTTGCTCCGGCGTGACATCCTCGCCGAGGATGCTGAGGGTAGCAGCCACCCCCCGGGCCACCTGCGCCTGGCGCGTGCGCAAATGGACATGCAAGAAATCAGGATCTGCAAGCGGCCAAGATTCTGGCTTATCCCAACGTCGAGGTTGGCAAATAGAAATCCAGATCCCATCTTTGTGTACATGCCAGAGGCTGGTTAATATACAGATTCCGGTATGCAGATCTAGAATTCAAGGATACAGCAGGTCAGAATTGCGATTTGACCACAATCCCATCTCCACCCCGGTTTAGCTACCACAGGACATGTAGCAAACGCAACGAAAATCTCGGCAGCCTCATCGGCAAAGACAGACATATCCGGCGTCGCGTGGATATCCAAGTAGGTCATTGCCAGCTGACGTCCGTCTGGTTCTGCCAACCTGAGCGCGCAAAGCATGAACTCGCCGACCATATGTCACAGACAGCAAACCAACATTCAGATGCATCCCTGTCAGCAGAGTTGTGACGCTGCACAGAGCATCTTCTGAGCTCATAGTATGTGGATCTGAAACTAGTACAGTTCTGACTTTCTTGATGCGCTTGTCTGCGACTTGGGTTCCCACGCATTATTGAGCAAGTAAGGCCGTGGCAAAGGCAGGACAAAGCTCATCCACCATAGCTGCCCACTTTGCATCGCAAGCTGCTGACAGCTGCTACTTTCTGAACCAAACCATGCTACGAGATGCATGGGCAATTGCTTGGTGAAAGCGCTTGGATTGTGGTTGCAAGCTTTCCGAATGGATTTCGAAAATTCAGGAGCCCTCCAAACTGAACTGCAGGATCGGAGATCCTCAGCTGGGAGTTGGTTTCTCCTTGATTCACACCCAGCACTCGCCCTCAGGGAGGCGCCGAAGCAACTCCAGACGGCATCTGCTCTGGCCGTTTGCTGCTTTTGTGAATCAGAATCCCAGCTTGGAATGTGTCCTCATTTTATCTCAGCCAACTACCCGAGATCTCTCTTGAGACCAGCCCCCCAACATGGTCTGTGCATCCCGTCTGAGCGGTATGATGTGCTGGCTTTTCACGGCTTTTCCGTTCAGGACAATGCGGGTAAAAGCTGATCCTGACATCTGCGAACTTTGACTTTGCCTTGAACCGCCATCAATGACAAAGGTGCTGCGCTAACCCGCAGAAGGCGTGGCCAAAACGTTGAAACACCCAACAGGACCGGACTTCAAAGCACGGGTGCCGTGGCAGCAAAACGCCTGCGAACATAGAGCCGCCCTAGCAAGTGTGCCGTTCCTCTCGACTGCTCTCTATGCTCAGATCGAAGAGCGGAACAGACCATTCGAAAGTTTCCTCCTGACCAAGATCCAAGTAGTTTGCCATGATCCGTCACGACTTTCCAAACAGGACAATGAAAGCCCTACCCACTTTTCGGATCTTTCAACTTGGGCTCCATGGCAGCCGTTTCTTTTGCCGCTGAAGGAGATGTGCCAATTGCCGCTCAGCTCTCCGGCGAACCATCCTGGCGCCACCTCCAGCGCATCGCCCAGCCCTGTGCCGCAGCCTGACGTGAGCGCCGGAGTGAGGGGCACTTCCCACTTGCATCTCTGGTGGATCCCCAAGGAAGTTGAGTGGAACACTGCTGGCTTTGAGTAGCATTATCTAAAAGCATCACTTAGACCTACCCATTCCCTCACCGCTCTGAATCAGAGCCAAGCTTCTTCTATACAGCGTGCCTCGGCTGAGCACGCATGGAAAACTAGAATGCCCAGCACTCCCGCGACGTGCAAAGGTCAGTGCGCCCCTGGCAAAAAGGCCTGTAGTGCTGCAGGCATCATTGACCTTCTTGGCTGTTGCAGTGGATCCGAAGCTTCGCCAAAACGCACGGCTGTAGTCCGGTGATTCTCTCGGATCCAAAGTACCCAAGCTGACATTGACCCCACCACACAGCCACGAGGCAGATTCCTAAACGAATTGGCATTGGCTTATTGCTTGATATACATGATGGCTTTCAAATGCCGGGCACGCTGAATGAACCATGCAAACGCGCGCGAGGCACAGAGCTCTCTGTGGGGGTCGAAATCCCAACATCGGCAGTTGCCTCTCAGCGCGCTGCGACCTGGGCAAAGGCTCCCAGGATGGTCTTGACCCTCCACTAGGTGCAATTGAGGGAAGTCGGCAGGCTATCAAATGGAGATGCTCCGATTGTCAATACATGACAAGGAACGCTCTGTGCTCCCTGAACGAAATCTGGGTGAGAACTCCTCGCAGGAATGGTAGTCCCCCTCCCCCACAACACCAACAACTTGCAAGAAGTTTGGGGCGCCCTCTTTTGTCGACCCTGGGGTTTTGGCCCAATGAAGCAGGTAGAAGGAAGGTCAAAAAAAAACGGTCGAGGATTAGACCAAAACGTCAGTTGGTCAGCTACCATCTGAGGAGCCCGCTGGGATCTGGAAGAAGTCTGAGGTGACACTCACGCTCCTGAAGGAACTTCCCCGAGATCCCTTTGATCCCGTCCGAAAGGGCGAGTTTTTGAAAACTGGAAAACCTACTCTTGCACCTTCAAAAGGCTAGAGGAAACCGATTCGCAGGACCCAAGTGAGCCGATAATGCAAAAGTTGCCATGCAGTGACCCCCCTATACACCCCACATTGACCAAATTGCTGAGTGAGCGCAGAAAACAAATCGCCAGGCGTCGCAGTCACAGGGGCCCGGGATGGGTGGCAGCTGGACGCCGGGGACCAGAATGGCACCCCTTGCCCAGCGAGCGTGGCCGTAGGTGCCGTTCCTGGGACAAGTTATTTGGTGGCTCGAAGTGCTTGGCGTCCCTTCAATCTTTTCGGGGTCTTGATTTGGCGCCTTCTTGGGCGACGTGTTGATCGACTTCGGCTCTTCATTTGCAGATTGCATTTTTCTCTGGAGTGGTTCACTCATTGATTCCGGTGGCTACATCTCAGAAGATGTTCGCACCAGGTCCGAGAGTTGCAGCACATGAACAAGGTGAATGCATGAGAATATACCCAATATTATTCAATAATCGCATTTGGGTATGAATCTGAAGTGGGGACACTTTGATGGACATCAGTACATGTGGACGCATATTCACCAACCACTTGAGAGCAGTAACATTACATGTGTGCGAGAAGTAGGCGAAGCATGGAGTCGTCAACACTGCTCTGCGCGCGCAGACATACAGCTTCATTCAGCATCCCTCTTCGAAAATATGGAGTTCATGTGGCGTTATCACCTTCCGATGAAAATGAGCTGGTCCAAGCAAAGGGAAAGCTGCAGTGACAAATTGTTGCTGATACAAAATGTAAATCAGTATGTGTTCACATGTTTGATGGACTTTATCACGGCCACGAAACAAGCATGTGAAATGCGCTCTTGTTCCTTTCGGGGTCCTTTTGGTGTACTTGTCATACCTTCATGAGCATCAAATGGACCGGTGAAATGGGGCTCCTTGGATTTGTGCTTTTGGTGTGCCTTTGGCACATGTTTCGTGTACTAGGGCTAGTACCTTTTCGGGCGCTTTTGGTGGCAAGCTTCCCTGTTGGTTTTCCGACCTGGCGCCGGCTCAAAATCCACTTCTCGCAGCGGGGCCCGTAACTTTTCACACACGAGTCACCAAGCCACTGATTTATGTGAGTCCACTCTGTCGCATACCCACCAATCCGCGAGTTCTTTCCGCACCCCAGCCCGATTGCTGCAGGGACTCCCTTTCCACAAGTCTCCATGCAAGGCTGCAGTACAACCAGGACCTCACATCTCCACAAGACTCTCCAATGATGCAGATGTCGAAAAGGGCTCTTCTTAGTTTCAGCTTATATATAACCATTCAGACGAGGATCCCTAGTTTGACACGTGCCCCCAGTTGCGCAAGAGCTGCAACATCAAGCATATAGATTTTGACCGCGTTCATTGTCAGTGATGGCAAAATGCGCTCAGGCTGCAATTCCTCCCCTCAGCTTAAGCCACCAACTTTCAAAGGTGTCATAGCCGTTCTCCAAAATGATATCAAAGACATCAGCGCCTCAAACGGATCAGGGAAGGCTTTCCGCCTGTGCCAACAAAGAAAGATGAAACCACGCAGGGGTTTGTGCAATTGATCTCCGCTCCCTTCACAAAAGCCCTTCCAACGGGGACAGTTGGCGAAGGTGTTTTGAATTGCACATGTGTTTGCCCAGGACCCACGCAGAAAACAGCTTCCAACCCAAAACAAGGACTGGACAACAGAGGAAACCGTTAACATGAGTGGTGCCCCGTTTAATTCCCAAGAGCGTGGACTACTGATTAAGGCCCAGCTGGTCAAGGTTCGGCTAAACGCAAATTCGGCTGAGCAAGGTTCGTGGACCGACTTCTATGCGCATGAAACACTTGGATTCCCTCTGCGAAACTGTTGCAAACTCCAGAAGCACACGCAGCAAAGCTGGGCCAAAAGCAGATTGCAACAATCCAACTGTCACATGTACTGAGCCTGTTCATCCGCCAAGCCTGGCTTCATTGGCCGGCGCTTGCTTGATGGCTGGCCCCCAGCTACACGCACACAGCCACACACTGCTGATTTCTCTCAAACTAGGAGGAACCCCCATCAAATGGCTGATTTGTCCATTTGCACTCTTCTTTGAAACCAACCAAACGGGGACCCCAAACACAAAACACACACACACACGCACACAAACAGGGTTGTTGTTTTTTCAGCCAGGCACATAAAATCGCGCACTCACACAGAGGGTGTTGTTTCAGCCCTGCACGGGTTTCCTTCACGTGGCCAAGCCACTGGAGCTCCAGCGCTCACGCAGCTCGTAGGGATGCAGCTCCAGGAAGAGGTGGGGATGGGACTGCAGGATCTTCGTGGCTCCTACCCCAAAACCCGAAGATCCAGCCATTTCGGGCCAACCGAACTGAGGTAATCCCTGAAATCTGCCGGTTTTCCACTACCTGGTCTTCCCAAAAAGATCAAATCTACTGTGGATGGTTGCGAAATCTGATATCCCGCACCACCATTCAGAAATCCAACGGAATGATGCGATTCCCCCTGTAAATACCCATGAACAATGGTTTCAACCATGGTTTCCAAGTGGTGCAGGATTTTGTCCATCCACGATATCTTAAATCTGGTGAAAGAGGTAGCCCATTGAAGATGTCAATGAGTCAAGAATCAAAGAAGCGGCAATGTATCGCTTTCCCAGGTTTTGATTGTGGCTCAGGTGGAGCGATACTCTTCAGTTGAGGTGCTCCAGAAACTCGTAAAAAGCCAAGGCATGAGTCAACCAAGGCATGATCCCGTTTAATGCAAGAGGCATCTGGCTCCAAGTTCGTGTTAGCCAAATGTGAGCTCAAAAATTCCGACGGATCCCCTGGCAGCATCCACACATGTGCCAGCTCCTCAACCGATCTGGCTTGATGTCTGCTTTGGTCGCAAGAATGTTGTACGTGCTAGTTCTTGGAGGGAAAGCTAATATGTGGTCTTTGGTCGGGTTGAGGTAAGCTCCCGAGCAAATCTCAGGATTTCCAGACCAGGCACCCTTCAAAACTTCGTACTCGGAGCCCTCCACATCGATCTTCACCGCGCACGCCGCGCTCACAAGAGAGTCCAAGGTCACCTTGACTGCGGTCGAGGGATCGACGAGAACAAGGAAGCTACTAAGCCAAGGGCTGTCGCAACCTTCACACTTTGCTCGTCAGTCCTTGGAAAGCCCACGAAATTGCAGCTCGACGATAGAAGTATGTTGCAGCTTATCCCCGAGTTTCTTCCGAACAAAAGCCAGAAGCTACTTCTTCACGCAAAAAGAGGGCCGAAAGGTACTTCTTCATTCAAAAAGAGGGCTTCTTTCCCGATGCAACCCGCGACGGCGTGAGATACGCTTCTTCATGGGCTGACTAACTGTGGTGACATCTCATGGTCACAAAAATTGCCTCAAAGCAAACATCTAAACTTGAAAATCATATCTAAAGATATCAAGGCCGCCATCTGCAGACACTGAGACCCCAAAGGTTCTGACAAGATTGCACATGTGTACCTCGGGGGGTTCAATCATTTCAGACAAAGATGTCCCTCCGATTTGGTTTTGAAAGATGGTTCCGCAAAGGGAAATCGAAGGGACGCCAATGTATCTGGAGACTCCTCTTGGGAATTTCATGACCTTTGACGGCTCCGAAAAAGCGAGGCCTGCAGATCTTCGGCGAATTCGATCATGAAGGTTGGCACCGTCGACCTTGAACCCCGGATGTGGGATTCAACTCTGGCGGAGAAAAATACCGGTGATCCATTAGGTACTTGAATCTGAGGGCTTGATAGCAACTCACAGGTCAAACTAGGCATCCCTGGAAGTGAGGTAATTATCACACCTCATACCAGGCACGGTCAAAACTATTTGTCCCAAATAGGACATGGGTGTGCCTTTGGTGAGAGCACCCTTTGTTTGGTGGTTCTGAAGGAAAACCAAAAGGAAAACCAGGAATTTGGGTGCCTCCACCCCCAAAACACGACACACCGACATAAGAAAAAAAGGGTTCGCCAGGCTGTGGAAATTTGAGCCCCATGTCCCAAGCTCCGAATGGACAGTGAGACCTGGGCAAGACTCTCTGGGAGCACGTGGCATATGGCACTGTGCCCCTCCGAGCAGTGCAGTGCTTGCTGGGCGCTCCGTCCTCCCACCGCCACCTGCAGCACCTCCACGTTCGTCAGCCCTGACACGTCCCAGCGGTGTGTCCCCAAAGAACTCACCTTAAAAGGAGGCCCAGTGTTTCTAATGCGTTTACAGGGAATTGTAAGCATCTGCAAAATAGCAAGACTCTTTCCTCGGATCCCCGAGCAAGCCGGCAAACAAAGAGACTTGCTGGCTGCTGGATGAAGCATGAGAGAGAGAGAGAGAGAGAGAGAGAGAGCGAGCGAGAAACAAGAGGGAGAGGGGAGAGACGGGAGGCAGGGGGGAGATGAATTGAGAAGAGGAGCAAAAGGAAAGGATGCGGAGAACGGCGAAGAGAAGAGTCTCAGGCATTTAACCTGCAGCTAAGGCAGCTGCTAAGAGAATCACGACCACCCGCCATACAGGAATTCGACTTTGTCCAATCGATTGGCTGCATGCGCCCTGCTGTCAATTCCGGAACCAACTGAGTCCAACCTTGTGGCATGCCCAAAACTCAAGGCGTGGAACATCCCCCAAAAATCACAAGGACTCACAAAATGATGTGGGTATAAATCAAAATTACACCATCACAAAAACCGCACGTGTTAGTCATTGTTTCCATTTACCGGGCAAGCCATTTGGCTTTGGGTCAAAACCGATGGTACCATGTTGGGGTAGGTGAATTCACCACCCACTTTAGTCTATGTTAATGGGGATTGGGATGTTCACTGGGGGGTACGATTTGGATTTTGACCCATGGCCATGTAGAGTACCTACTGTGGATGGACGAAATCCATTTCGCACCGCTTTGAAACCATTCCGTTGGATTTCTGAATGGTGGTGCGGGATACTGGATTTTGTCCATCCACAGTATGAAACAAATCCCGAAAGGAGATTGATTGCAGGCATTTGTTCAGTTGTTCCCAGATCTGAGAACCCATACCAAAACTTTTGACCACCACCATCATGCCATGCCAAGACGCCGTTGCGCAGCACCGAGGCCTTGAGCAGCGACGCCAGCGCCGGCACGGCTTCGATGGCCAACACCTCGTGCCCGTCCTAAGCCGGCGGGTCGAAAATACGTCGCCAAAATGGCTGGCCCTGGAAACTGGACACCTGGACGACCTGCGGTCCCCCGGTTTCTGTGAATTTTGACCCATTCCCGTACAAATGCACCAATTCCAACTCCCCAATCTGCGAGAAGGAACCCCCTTCACGGGTGAGCTTGTTTTGGCGCAGCTGTGTTTCCCGTCAAACGGTCTTCTGGTGTTCCCGAACTTTCACCCACCTCTGTGAGCCATCAGGCCTTGTGCTTCGGCCACGATTTTCTGGTCCACGTCACGTCATGGCAGAAAAATCCCAATCACATTCTCGACTCCATGTGTCAAACAGCCGAGCTCCTAGAAACCAAAAACAAACAAACAACATGACCCGCAGTTTCACAAAGAAGCCATTCCCTCCACTCATGAGCTTCTCGGATCACCGGATTTTTCGGATCACCTAACCACCGATCTGCCTCTAACCAACGGGTGCCCAGCGTCCCTTCCCAGCATCAAGGCACAGCCGCCGAGATTGGCTCCTGCCGAAAAGCCAGCAGTTGCAACGTCCAATCCTTGCCATCGCGATCCGAGTCCATGGCAACAGGAAGAGCCAAAGTGTGCAGATCCCATGGGCCCCTGCCTACGTCGATGAAATAGCAGGGCCGAGTCCTGAGCAAAACCAAAAGCTGTACCAACCTGGAAGAATCGAAGGCAACCGAGATGCGAGATCTCTCTTGTTGCTCGAACGATATGCCCGCAGTCTGGGAAAGATCCTTCCATCCGCCAGCGTTCGTCCACCTGAAAGTTCGCGCAGACTCCAGGACTTATCTCGCCACTCTGCTCTTCGCCAAGCGGCAATGTCAGCTCTTCGCCGTACACAGACCCACACACTCAAGGGATCAGCGACGCTTGGGATGGCATATGCATACCTCGCGCCGGGCGTGGAGCATCCGTGGACCGTGGCAGCCGTGGCATAAGACCCTCGCAAGACCGAGACCCAGGCGGCTCTACGTCGCTGCACAACGCCTGTGCGGCGAAAAAAACAAAAACGCAACAAATCCACATGTGCAAACTGACCTGCACCAGAAGACCTTGGAACGCAAAACAAGAGAGTTTCCAGGCCTCCCAAAGGGAAAGGTCCAGCTTTTCACGCATCTGAAGAAAAGGCGCTTGAACAGATTCCAAAGACTCTGCCTCGTTGTTCAATCCAAACAATAGTGTATCAAAGACACTGAGAAAAGCGGAAGCAAAGATTCAAGGGGTTCTCAGAACTCTGGCCTTGCATCTTTCAAGGTGTCACAAAACACATGCAAGCGCGTCTGACATATTCTCTTTTACGTAGCTCCTGGATGCAGAGTCAAAACCTGTCCTGAGAATCTCGATCTTCCTTCTCATATTCAATTTTAGATCCCAGAAACCAGGCTCCTGGGAATCGTCAATCTTCAAGTCAAGAATGTGTTAAAGCACGTCAAAACAGTTTCTACTTTCTGGGATTGAAGATCTGATACTTGTGTCCCAGGAAGTTTAAGCTTTCAGAAGCCAGGCTACAAAAAACGTTCAAGCGCTTGATAGCGCTATGTATCTATACACATACTTGCTTACAATGCTATTCATTTATTGTCGCGTTGTGTACTACTTATCCATCTACTTCTGTTATTCATGAATTTAGCTGCGTGCCGTCGCAAAGCAAGGGGTGGCAAATAGTAGTCTTCTTCAAAGGGGCCTGATCGCCAAGCCATGTTGATTGGTGGCTAGCTTTTCCTTTATCAGGGGTCCCTGCACTTCCTTGTTTTGGGGGTTGGCCTTGGTAGGGGTGTTGTGGCACTGCATCCTGCGTCTGAGATCTATGCTTGCTCACGACTTTGCTTGGCATTTGTGCAACAATACCACCATTGCATTCCAACTAGCACGTGCGTGCTGGTCTCATTCAGAATGCTGCACAAACTCCCTTGCTCTAAAAGAAAGACGGCTCGATTCCGATGGTGGGACGTGTTCATTCTTGGGTAGCTTTCCCTCAAGGCCAGAGCTGGGAAGCCATCCCAGGATCTAGACCCCTGACCTTGGATCCATTTGAAGGCGATGTGCATAGACATGCGTGCACAGACACGCACGCACGCACGCACGCACATGAACGCGCAGCGCAGCGCATACACGTATACGTACACGTACATACATACGTACGCAAACACAACTATATATATATATACAAACACACAAATGCACACACAAATATATATATATATATATACACACACACACATGAACACACACTCACAAACAAATATACACACACAAATATACACACACAAATATACACACACACATGTATATATAATAATATATACATATATATATACAAAGAAAGAAAGAAAGAAAGAAAGAAAGAAAGAAAGAAAGAAAGAAAGAAAGAAAGAAAGAAAGAAAGAAACAAACAAACACACTACTTAGTTTAATTCACCCTCTCAACCCCAACCCAAAAACGGCTCGCCGTCTCCTGCCTCCCGGACATAAGCCTCCTGCAGGCGGTGCAGGATCGCGAGGAGAGGCCAGCCTCACTGCCGCTGCGGCACGTGCCTTTCCCGACCGAAACCCCTGACCTCCCATCACGACTAGGCCGAACCTTCAAAGTGGCCATGGGTCAAAAGCCAAATCGAATCTGCAGTGAATATCCCAATCCTCACTAAAATAGTTTAAACAGGTAGTGCACCTACCCCAAAATGGTACCATTGGTTTTGACCCACAGCCAAGTATGTTGCCTTGTGATTTCACAATAGCTTGTCTTCCCTCATTTGCTTTTGTAAGGGTAACTTCTCCGTTCTTTTCAGCACTTCTTCTTTCCGCCAAAAAAAGGAACGGCTGGTGCTTGACATGAGCAATGGTTGAACAGAATGAGAACGCAACGATTGAATTTCCTTTGCACAATGGGCTTGAGGATCGTTTGCTAAGCCAAACATGAGGAAGCAAATCAAAGCAGGCTTGAACATGCAGCATTGCTTTTGGACCATGAAGAGGGTGCCACGTGCAAAAACGTGGCAGTGTCGATTGGCTGAGGTTCATACTTTGCTGGATAGGACCTTCGCCCTCGCAGAACCTCGTGGAACCCTCGTGAAACGCTCGTGGAACCCTGGTGGAACCCTGGTGAAACCCTCGCGGAACCTTACCTCAGGGTAACCCCTGACCACCCCGGAGCCTATCTGGGCTGAGATTCAGCTGTTGGGGAAAAAGCCGATATTCGCAAGAAGCATCCTTGGACTGCGCAACAAGAAACTACAGCAAGCCTGCGGGCTTGTGCAAACAGCCTGCACCTGTTGCTGACGCATTTCCCAGCTGCACGTTTCTTTGGCCCTGTTGTCACGGGCCCCACCATGGCGGGCTCTCCGAAAAGATCCCGACGTGACGAGAAGCCCCCAGATCCCGTGGGCGCCCTTTCGTGGGCTCTTGAAGCGACCCCAAGGACTTGGATGTTCCACCAGACGTTATGACCATGGTGTTCACACCGCGCATGCCCCTTCGTACCTCACCCCATTTAAAAGCAAGCCAATGGGCCGAAAAGGCGATGTCCAAACCAAGCATGTCTTTTCAAGGTACGAGTAAGGCTTAGGTTCCAAGCATGTCCAAGCAACTACAGTAAGGTTCCACCGGTGTCGAGAAATCAACGTGCGAAACGTGCGAACCCGCGAAGGACCCGCGCCTGAGAAAAGCAACCGGCCCCAACCGGCCGGCACCAGTGCATGGTCCAGCCTCGGAACTGCAGCCGTTCATAACGTCGTATGCCCCATGGGGTTTCCCGATCTGTCTATGTGTCCGTCTACATAGTGCGTACAATGAAGACAGCAACAGTTGGCGACACAAGTTAGACCGTGGATTCATCGTAGACCGCATGCGGTGTAAAGGAGTGAGTGGGCAATCGTTGCTCATGACCCCTGAGTCCAATGATGATGCTGATGATGATGATGATGATGATGATGATGATAAGAGGAAGGAGAACAAGAAGACGAAGAAAAAGAAGAAGAAGCAGAAGAAGAAGAAATATACATATACAATATACATATGTATATACACATATATTTATATTATTGTCAGTTTTACCTAACGACGTTGAGCCCTTAGACCACAGAAAAAAGGCCATATATGCATATCAAAAAAAGAAGAAAGAAAAGAATAAAAATAAGAGAACTGGAGAAACACGAAACGGACGGAAAAGGTGTCCCGGTGCGTGGTCGGCTGCGGCCGCGCGCACAGTTTCACAAAAAGTAAATGGTGAAGCCTCAGACATTCGTGTGGCTGACCATCAAAAACGCTTTAGGGGGTGAAAATAGAGAGAGAGAGAGAGACAGAGAGAGAGAGAAAGAGAGAGAGAGAGAGAGAGAGACAGAGAGAGACAGAGAGAGACAGAGAGAGAGAGAGAGAGAGGGAGAGAGAGAGAGACAGAGAGAGACAGAGAGAGAGAGAGAGGGAAACAGAGAGAGACAGAGAGAGAGAGACAGAGAGACAGAGGAAGAGGGAGAGAGAGAGAGACAGAGAGAAACAGAGAGAGACACAGAGAGAGACAGAGAGAGACAGAGAGAGACACAGAGAGACAGAGAGAGACAGAGAGAGACAGAGAGACACAGAGAGAGACACAGAGAGACAGAGAGAGAGAGAGAGAGAGAGACAGAGACACAGAGAGAGACACAGAGAGTGGACTAAGCATTTAATGACTAGTCGGCACAAACGATATCAAATGATAGAAGCTGGGGAGTTCTTGGAAGCCGATCGAAATGATATGTGGTGGTGCGATGTCTGTCAAGTATTTTTAGCAAAGAAAACATCAAAGTGTAGTCATAATGGATCTAAAAGGCATTGTCAATTAGCAAAGTTACAAAGAGTTGAGGAGTGCATGGGTTGATACAATTGTTTTTTTGATGATTGTATCAATGCATTGGGATATTTATTGATTTAATGGGTGGGATTTTGCGCAGTATGGCGGGTGGAGTGGGGGGAAAATGCGCAGTATGGCAGTGGGAGAGGTCACCTCTGACTCTGGTAAGTGGAAAAATGGACCAAAACCTGCGTAACCCCTCCTGGTTAATTTTGAGCCACACCCAGATTTGACTGCTTCTCACTGGGAGCTTGGGCGCCAAGCAAACTGGAAAGCCTGCGATAGCCCTGCCGCCAGCCTGGCCATTTCAGCACAAGAATGTGGAATCCATGGATCGATCGGGCGGGGGCACTTCCCTGCTCCTGAAGTTTTGGACAGGTGCAGCGGGAAACAAAAAGGTCGCAATTTCAGAAATGTCATGACACGGATGAGAGCGACGGTCAATTCGCAGGTGCCAATGACAGCATTGTACCCTCAAGCATGCATTCCATGCAAAATGTAGTGTGCTTATTCTTTCCTGGCAAACGCATTTGCATAGAGGTTCAGTGCAAGGTCACAGCTCAACGTACAGGAACACAAATACCAATACGGGTGCAACTCAGATTCAATTCCATGCGCATTCAAGTAGATCTTAAGGATTTAAGGACGAGCTTAAATGCCGGTGTCCAAACCTTTCAGCTTGCTGACCAGCCTGTGACATTCCACTTCGCCTCTGGCAGCAGGCCGCTGGAAACCAGTCTAGCTGCCGCCACTGCGCCTCTGATATCTGGGAAACATCTGTGGCTAACGTCCTGATCGCGCCGTCGTGGTCTCCAGAGGTGGTCATTGTTTCATCTATGTACGATTCGGAACACTTTGAGCATGTGGAAGAAGTGTGGCACGCCCAGGCATTCCACAGTGTCACTGACATTGGGCGCATTTTTGTACATGGTCCAAACTCTCTTTGATTGGGAGTACATGTATAATATGGCAGGGGTGGTCATAAACCCGGTCCGCCAACAATTCCTTGGTTTCATGCCTTCAGTTGGCGCTACTGTCCCTTTGAACATATGTCCTCTATTTTTTGCCTAACGACCCTCAAAAATGGCGGTTTTGCTTTTGCTTGCCCTAGGAACCAAGCTAAAACTGGGCTGTCCGCAGATCCCCCGCTCAAAGTTTCACTTTTAGTGGGTTAAATGGAAACTACCACTAAACACTCAAAGGCTCAAAAGCTAAGGAACCGGATGGCTGGGAACCACCAAGAATAGCTTGCAAAAAAAAAACTCCGAGCACGCGCCGTCGCCGGGCCGCCCGGCTCGGATCCTGGCCACACAAATCCTCGTAGTAGATCCGCTGCTTCAGCGCGGTGGCCTCATGCCGGGCGCCCGGCGGCAGCAGCGGCCTACCGAAGGCGGGATCCAGAGCTCGGAAGGGCCTTTTCAGGTGCGCGTGGGTCAAAATTAAACCAGGGGACCGCAGGTTTTAGTCATGGGTTCCATTTGCCAGGGTTCCATTTTGGGTGCCCATTTTTGACCCACAGCCCAGGTACAGTAGGTTTCTGAGGTAGGGAGGTCACCATCTATTTTGGCAGTATGTAAGCATCCATGTAACCAAGGGTTTCGAATGGAAATGCCCTTGATGTACCGTCCAACCAAATATAGAATTGCACAGGCTCGCTTTCCAAGAGGAAAGCAGTCTAAAGGGGGTATGTGCACTTCCATGTTGGGTAGGAGGGTGACAAGTCGCGCCCTCACAAGGTAAGGTTCCATTTGTGGCAAGCTGAGTCGGGGTACAAATCAAGGTGAACGTCCGGCACATGAAAACGAAACAATAATGCAACTGCTAGAAGCTGCCATGTCCGCTATGGTAAAATGATCAATTCGTCCAATATCTCGCAGGACGGCAAGGCTCCAGAAGCTTCGCATGGCTGGACTTCCCTTTCTGGACGGGGGCATCCATGTGCATTCCTGCGTTTGGTTTCTTGATACAGTTGACCCTGCGGATACTGCCGCCAGTAGGGAAGCACTAGTTCACAACTGATATTTGCCGGTCTATTTGCTGCTTCGGGTTTCAACATGCCGAAACAAGTTGTACCCCCCCAGACATCTGAACAACTCTCCGGGGATCGATCCTGCCGAATGCTGAGAGCTCCAACTTCACCCCCTGCGAGTCCGCTGAACTGCAGCTGCGATGTAATTTCTACATCCCATGTGATGTGTGGGACTGATCTGCCGTAGGGATCACGAGTTTCAAGCCGAAGCCCTCAAATCATCTCCCCCCTCTGATGCACTGATGTGCCGTGGGAGGATGTTTTTTTTTCTTCTTCTTTTTCTCGTGGAAGTCCCCAAATCATCCCACGCAGGCAACCGCCCCCTTCACGCGGATGAGTTGCAAGAAGGCCGCGCCAGGCTCGGATTCCGTGTTCAGCCAGGCCATCAGAAAGCCGTGCAGCGGAAGCGCCTCCTGTTAGACCCAGGCGGCATCGGCCACGTTTGAATCCGGCCGAGCCCCACAAAGTACGCCTTTGAACCCTGGGAAGATCCTCCGTCTTTTTCGGGGGAGGGTCAATGTTCATCTGGGGAGTACTGGACCTTCTGTCCCTTGCAGATTAACACTTTAAAAACCAACCCTGAAAACATGCCAAGCGGCGCGAACGTTGCCGTGTGACTGTCATCATGTTTCCGCACACTGCTTTTCATGGTCAGAGCAAAATAGACCACCGCCAAAATGACAAGCACACCCGCTCAAGTGCTTTTACTTGTCGGGGCACCAGCAACAAAATGATGAACGCGCTTGCTCAAGTGACTCTAGTGCTTTTCATGTTCATACGAAGCAAACATCAAAATGACAAGGACACCAGCTCTTGTCATGGCCACGGAAACACCACCACCAAGCACACCCGCAGCGCGAGAGCGGAACACCACATGACAAGCGCACATGGCGAAAGTACCAGGGAGACGTCTTCCGCCTGGCAGACTCAGAGCCGCACCTCACTCCATTCCCCTGGCCCCATCAAGGTCACCCAAGTGGTAGGTTGAAGGGAAACCACCAATTCCAGTTTCTGACTTTGACAATGGTCATAATCTCGGTTGCTTTCTGCTCCCCTGCGAAAAGTTTAACTTTTAGTGGATTAATACGGAAAACCCATTCGTTGCCGAAAATGTTAAAGTCCTAACATCCCTTGGCAAAATGCACCAAAGTGATGACCCCCAGTTCCCAGAACCCCCGTCCTGGCACACCGTCGCCATGTCCCCCCAGTGCCCCAGCAAACTGCGGGACTGGTGCGCAGCGAGGCGCCCCAAGCGGAAGAGGCCCTCCTGCAAAATCACCAGCCTCGGCTGACCCACACCACTTGGCTTCCACTGAAACCAAAGGACAGCCAGGATTTGCGCCACTTGTCTGTTCTACTACACACCAGCATATGCGTGTTTTGGGGCACCTCCCAAACAAACCAGGGTACCGTGCAACTCCAAGAAGCGCCCGCCGTTTGGCTTTCTTTTCAGGCAAGTCTTGGTGGCATGGACACCGACTGCGAGTGGCGAAGCCAAGGAAGGGTTCGTTCGCCCGATTCATCAACCCCTGGACGGTTTTGATCATTTGGTTTCTCATTCAGGGCATCCTTCACCTTTTCCCAGCTATTGATCAGGTGGATTAATGCGGGGTCAAAAGACCAAGTGGCCATTTGGTTTTTTGACACTATCCCAAAGGGGATGCGGTTCAAAGGTGGAAAATGAAAGCGGTAACGCCGCAACCGCATCTAGAGTGGGAAACCGCATTGCAGGGGTGCAAACTGCGACGACTCCAGTTATCGCAAAGTTGGAAAGCGGGAATACTTGAGAAGCCGAAATGAGAAGGAATCCCCCAATGAAGAAAGATAGTCATATTTGAAAAGGAGGAAAAGCCGCCCATATCCCTGCTTCGCTTCATTCCTCCCCAGCACATGCCCGCAGGTGCAGGTGGCGCCAAACTCCACCAGTCTCACATTTCTGTCCAAGCTCCTGTGGGCTATGCGGCCAGGGCGCATGCCAAACAAGGGCCAGCCAGAACTCAGCACGGCCTCGTAGGAAGGCGCGCGCACCTGCGCGTGGCGCAGGTCATGAACGCTCCAGCTCCGTCCGGTAACCGGCGCCGGGGAGGACATGTTGGAAGTACCAGACCAATCCGCGACACGAAAACCTGGATCATCTAACCAAGCAAGCCCCACCTAGCCTCCCCTCGCAGCTTGCTTCTGCCTCCATTTTTCCAACCGAACGCGACTGGTTCTGCAAATGGGCATGGACCATATTTGGTTTCAGCTAGTTTTTGCCAGAACCTAACGAGCAAATCCAGGCAAACGGCATCCCTTTTCTCCTCCTCCCCAACATAACAGCAAAGCGCTCCGAACATTGTCAGTGGTTTATGCTCCTTTGAGAGCCCAGTGAACCCCCCCCCAAGCCCAGGTTCTGGTCCCACTGGCACCTGAAGCACCTGCAGCGTCTTCAGCACCGCAGCCGTACTTAGCCCACTCGCAAGAATAACTCAGCTCACGAGCAGCCGTTGATCAGCCAAAGATGAGCAGATGTTTGTTTGGTCTGGATCAAGCAAAGAAGAAAAGCACGACGGTCTTTGTTTGGCTAAAGCTGACCAAATCTGCAGCTGTGACAAGAGGCTCTATGATGTTGTCATCCTTCGGCTTCAGTTGATCGCGCATCAGGCCAGTGTTGACCTCACTCTGTTGCTGGCTTACAAGCATGGCTAGCATGTTTTCACGGTCACAAACGGGGTGTGGGTCAGAAATAGGTACCCAAAATGGGCTGCCCTGGTAAATAGAAACATGGACCAAAACCTGCGTAACCCTGGCTCTTTAATTTTGACCCCAAAATGTTGCTAAAACCTGCGGTCCGATTCCTGGTGGTTTAATCTTGACCCATGCCCAACTAAGGTTGTGGCAACGATGATGTCCAGCAGCATAAAGAAAATCTCACCTGCCGGCACTCGCCAATGAGAAAACTACTCTTCTCTCAAAGTGAGCAAGAGGCTTTAAAGGCAGCCCAAAGAGGGTCTGCCTTCTGCAACTCGTTTGTCCGCCATTCTAAAAGGCAACCCAGAAGCACAAATCAACATCTCAAACAAAAGCCACGCGAGAAGGCCGGGCCCCACGCCCCCTGCCCCCCTTCCCCAAAACCCCGCCCCATCCATCCCCTTGATCTCCTTGGCCCCCCCCCCCCCCCCCGAGCCCGACGCACTCTACTCGCGCCGCGCGCGCCGCGCGCGCCGCGCGCCTGCGGGGCACCGCTGCCCGGGCCGCACCAACTCCCCGTCCGTGAGGCCGGTGGCGCGGCTCTGCCAGATCTCGGATGCTCGGATCCCGGCCCCCATGGCACCCACCTTTTGGTTCCCCTAACAAAACCCGCAGTGGAGTGGCCGCCAAAGAAAAACAACTCAGTGGATTGGATTGGCCGAAAAAGGCATTTTAAAAAAAAAATACACCTTCAGCGCATTGGCCAAAAACAGCCAGTGGATTGGCCACACAAGAAACACTTCAGTGGACTGGCCAAACAAGAGCCAAACCTTCAGTGAATTGGTCCAAAAATGCGCACTGGCCAGAGAAACACTTCAGTGGATTGGCCGAAAAGAACTAGACGACGGGTGGCCCGGAAGCAAAGCAACACGTTAAACCAACTCTGACGCCTCCCCCACCTCATGAGAAACAAAGACGTCAATGTCCCTGCTCAAGCCTAGCCTCTGCAAGTTCTGGTGAGCAAGCTTAGCATCATGCTTCGCAATTTCTCGTGTCAGTTTCTGTTGCGCGCGATGTTGTGAGTGCCTGCTGTGTGCGAAGCTGCGCGTGGTGCCGTGCGTGATGCTGCGCATGATGTTGCAAATCATGCTGCGCGTGACGCTGTGCGTGATGTTGCCCATGATGCTCTACAACACCTCTTGCCCACTCTTTGTGCCCGTTTCTTTTGTCAATCTCTCTTGTCCAAATCAGTGCGCAGTTTGGCTGCGCAAGAAGGCTGGCTGTCTTAGCTACGGAAGTGTACCTCGCACACTACTTTTGTGCGTAAGTTAAGGTTTTCAAGCTGGAGATGCGCAAGTGCAACTGGGTGTTTCTTTTGCGCTTTACAGTTGCAATTTGCGAGCTGGACATGTTGGAGTGCAGTCTCCGAGCGTTACTTCTGCGCTGAAAAACTGTGATTTTTGAGCTGGGGCTTGCGAGAGCGCACTTCGCGCGCGCGACCTTGCGTGTAGAATCTTAGACATGTTTCAGCCGGAGCTGCGGGATTGCACTCGCGCACTACTTTTGTATTTAAGAGTTGCGATTCTTGAGCCAAAGGCATGGGAGTGCACTTTGCGTACTACTTCTGTACTTAAAAAAGTTACTATTTGCCATCCAGAGCAACGTGAATGCTCTTCGCGTGCTGCTTGCATGCTTGAAACTTGCGTTCTTAGCCGGAGCTGCGGGAATGCGTTTCGCGTGCTACTTTTGTACTCAAAACTTGCGATTCTACATCCTGAGCTGAGCTGCTCTTCGCGTGGTGGTTGCGGTACTTGGAACTTGCGTTTTCAGCCGGAACTGCGGGAATGCACTTCGCGTACTACTTTTGTACCTAAAACTTGCGATTTTGCAGCCAGAACTGCGGCAGCACAGTTTCCGCACAATATTCTTGTACTTGAGACTTGATATTCTTGAGCCAGAGCCGTGGGGATACACTTTGCGTGCTACTTTTGTACTTAAAACTTGCGAATTTCGAGGCAAAGCTGCGGGAGTGATCTTCGTGTACTACTTTTGTATGTAGAAATTGCGATTTTTGCAGCCGGAGCTCTGGGAATGCTCTCTGCGTACTACGTTTGTGCCTAGAAGTTGCGAATTTCGAGCCGGAGATGCGGGAGCGCGCTTCGCGTACTACTTTGGCACGTAAAAATTGCGAATTTCGAGCTGGAGTTGCGGGAGCGCGCTTCGTGTACTACTTTTGTACTTAAAAATTGCGATTTTGCAGTCGGAGCTCTGGGAGTGCTCTTCGCGTACTACTTTTGCACTTTTAACTTGCAAGCTTTCAGCCGGAGCTGCGGAAATGCACTTCGCGTACTACTTTTCTACTTAGACGTTGCGAAGTTCGAACTGGAGCTGCAGGAGCGCAGCTAAGCGTACTACTTTTGTAGGTAGAAGGAGCGATTGTGCAGCAGGAGCAGCGGGAGCGCACTTTGCGTACTACTTTTGCGCGTGCAAATTATGAGTTTCGAGCTGGAGTTGCGGGAGTGCGCCTCGTGTACTACTTTTGTACTTAGACGTTGCGAATTTCGAGCTGGAGCTGCAGGAGTGCGCTTCGCGTAACAGGTGCGCGGCGGGAGCTGCGGGAGTGCACTTCGTGTACTACGTTTGTACTCAAGAGTTTCGATTTTGCAGCCAGAACTGCGGGAATGCTTTTCGCACACTATTCTTTGTACACACGAAAGAAACTATTCGTGAGCCAGAGCCACGGGACTGTACTTCGCGCACCACTGTTGTACTAAAAAATGTGATTTTCAATCCTGAGCTGCAACGCTCTTCGCGGGCTGCTTGCGTACTTGAAACTTGCAAGTAGTACTTTTGTGTGCTCCAAAGTTTCCATTTACCAGCACAGTTTCCGCACATGCGTTGGTACTTGAGAAGAGCGGACCAGGGAGGAATCGAACCCGCGACGCCGCCATTGCGAGAGCCGGCGCGCAAACCACGAGACAACTTTCAAAGACCATTTGAGAGCAGCGAAAGCAAGAAAATTCGCACGGCACCACAGCGAGAGCGCTTCGACACGCACGATCTCCGCAGAGGGTTCGCCGAGGTCAAGACAAATTCGCACGGCGCCACAGCGAGAGCTTCGACACGCACGATCTCTGCAGGGGGGTACGTTTCGTAAGCTCCCGTCGGACCTACCCCCGCCAGAAAAAGAAAAAGCATTAAGAATCGAGAAGTGAAGGCACAAAAGAGAAAAGTTAGCTTGTGTTTTTATAATAATAATAATGAAGCACCCAAAAAGTTAGCGTCTCTTTTTAGAATACTGAGATAGCACCCAAAAAGTTGACATGAAAAGTTGGCTGGTGAAGTAACTAACGAAAAGTTGGCATGAGAAGTTGGCAGGTGAAATAATTCCTCGGCAAGTTGGCATGAGAAGTTGGCAGGTGAAGTTTGCAGCCACGTTTACAAGAAGAACCCTTCGCAATGCTTCCCGGAGAAAAAAAAAAAAAAACACTTCAGTGGATTGGCAAAAAAACACCTTCAGTGGATTGGCCACAAAAAAACCGTGGATTGGCCACAAAAAATGCTTCAGTGGATTGGCCAAAAACGAAAAAAACGCTTCAGTGCATTGGCCAAAATAAATGCATTGGCCAAACAAAACACTTCAGCGGATTGGCCCAAAAAGAAAAAAACACTTCAGCGGATTGGCCAAAAAAACACTTCTGTGGGTTGGCCCAAAACACGCTTCAGTGGATTGGCCGAAAAAGAAAAAGACAAAACACTTCAGTGGATTGGCCAAAAAAACGATGGATTGGCCAAACAAAACACTTCAGTGGATTCGCCGAAAAGGAAAAAAACACTTCAATGGATTTGTCGGTAAAACGACACTTCAGTGGATTTGCCAAAAAAACACATCAGTGTATTGCCTGGACAAAAATGGATTGGCCAAAAAAAACACTTCAGTGGATTGGCCGAAAAAGAAGAGAACAAAAACACTTCAGTGGATTGGCAGAGAAAAAGAAAAACTTCAGCGGGTTGGCCGATTAAACAAAAGTGGATTCGCCGAAAGAAAGAGTACAAAAAAAAATCATCAGTGGATTGGCCGAAAGAAAAAGCACTTCAATGCATTGGCAGAAAAAACTAAAAAAAAGCAGTGGATTGGCCGAAAAAGACAAACAAACCCTTCAGTGCATTGACCAAAAAGAACACTTCTGTGGATTGGCCGAAAAAGCAAAAGAAACACTTCAGTGGATTGGCCACAAAAAAACAGTGGATTGGCAAAAACAAAACTTCAGTGGATTGGCCGAAAAAGAAAAACTTTTCAGTGGATTGGCAAAAAAAAGTGGATTGGCCAAAAAAAACACTTCAGTGAATTGGCCGAAAAAGAAAAACCTTCAGTGGATTGTTGGCCAAGAAACACTTCAGTGGTTTGGACGAAATAGGAAGAAAAAAACACCACTGTGGATTGGACGAAAAAAAATAAACAAAAAGACACATTCTTCAGTGGATTGGCGAAAACGAAAAAACACACTTCAGTGGATTGGCCAAAAAAGAGCGAAACACTTCAGAGGATTGGCCAGAAAAAACACGTCAGTGGATCGGCAAAAAACACTTGAGTGGATTGGCCAAAACAAAACAGTGGATTGGCCAACACAAACACTTCCGCGGATTGGCCGAGAAAGCAAAAGTTGAAAAACAAAAAAGCTTGAGTGGATTGGCCAAAAAGAAGAGAAAAACAACTCTTCAGTGGACTTGCCGAATAAAAAACAGTTCAGTGGGTTCGCCGAAGAAAAAAGAAACACTGTAGTTGATTGGCCCAAAAGAACAGTGGATTGGCAAAAAAACACTTCAGTGGATTGGCCGAGAAGGAAAAACAAACACTTCAGTGGATTAGCTGGAAAAAAACACACTTCGGTGGATTGGCCCAAAAAGAACACTTCAGTGGATTGGCCGACAAAGAAAAGAACAAACAAAAATTCAGTGGATTGGCGGAAAAACAAAACAAAAAACCTTCAGTGGATTGGCTAGAAAAAAATGGGGAAAAACGCTTCAGTGGATTGGCCAAAAAGAAAACACTTCAGTGGATTGGCCGGGAAACACCACCTTCAGTGGAGTGGGCGAAAACACAGCGGATTGGCCAAAAAAGACATGTCAGTGCATTGGCCGTAAAAATATTCAGTAGATTCGCCAAAAGAAAATCAGTGGATTGGCAGTCAGTGGACTGGCCGAAAAAGAGACAAAAAAACATCAGTGGACTGGCCAAAAAAAACAGTGGATTGGCCGAAAAAAACATTTCAGCAAATTGGCCCAAAAAAAACACTTCACTGGATTGGCCAAAAAAAGCGCTTCAGTGGATTGGCCGAAAAAGAGAAACACTTCAGTGGGCACAAAAAACAATTCAGTGGATTGGCTGAAGAACAAACACTTCAGTGGATTGGCCAAAGAAACACTTCAGTGGATTGGCCGAAAAAGCACTTCAGTCAAACAAGCTTCGCGCGTGTCGCACATGTCACAACACGTGCCACGCTCGTCACAAACACGCACGCGCAGTTGCACACGCACACGCACACAAAATGATGACGTGCCAGGCTAAGTTTCACATTGGAAATCAACAAACATCTATATATACATATACAAACATTCTGCAGTTCAGTCCTTGCCCTACAATGAGGATGCTTGGCTGATTGTGTCAAGAAGCCGTAGGAGGCAGACAACTTGGAGTAGGTGCACGTTTCAGCTCATGCAACGACTTGCGATGTGTGTGTGTGTGTGTGACATGTGCAACATGTGCCATGAGCGTGACGCTTGTAAGACCAAGTAGTGCGGTTGTATGTTTTCTGATGGTTCTTGCTTGTGTCGTATTTGTGACATTGCCTTTTTGTTGCTTCTGTGTACATGGAACAAACTGGAAAAATTGTCATGGTATTCCTGTGGCCCCTCAACAAGCATCAGAGGTTTCCCATGGCATATGTTCAGGCCGAGCCAGGATAACTTCTTCCGCAAAAGAAAAGAAGGCAAAGGCTTTTTGTTTGAGAGGCCAGAGTCCGCCCCTTCGTTTGGCGTGCAGCCATGCCTTGCGGCCACAAGGCACGATTTGCCAATCAGCAATATCAATTCCGGGTGGGTGTGCAGGATTGGTTAAAGCGTCTCGCTTTCTCACCCAAAAAAATGGCTTCCAGCTGGCTGAGATCTTGTTCTGTTTCCAAGGTGTCCTTATATCGGTCTGTCTTTTCTCAGGGCACCCCTTCTTTGAGCTGTTTTGAAAGGAAGCCAACGGAAAACCCACCGAGTTTGGGGGGGTCCGACCGAAAAAAACCAAAAAAAGACGAGCCACCCGTATGGCAACCAGCGACCCGCGTGCTTCACCCGTTGGACCGAGCTGCCGGGAGCAGCCCCGCGAGCCGGGCCAGCGAGGTGCGCACAGGGCCTCGCTCGGCGGGAGCGGGGGGGAGGGATGGAGCGGGGGGATGGAGCGGGGGGCACGGGGAAGGTGTCAAACTTCCGATGGGTGACATGCAACCCGGGAGAGGGAGAGGGGGGAGTGGGGGGGGAGTTGGGTCGATTGTTGTTTGGGGGGGGGAAATGGAGGGAGCTTGTGCGGCGTGTCTTTTTTTGGGCTTCCCGAACCAACTCGCCAAGAAGTGTGTACCCTCGAAACGCAGAAAAGAAGCAATGGAGGTCGAAGCGATCAAAAAGGGAGACCAAAATGGGTTCGTACTTTAAATGAGGGTGGTAGTTGGTAGTGCCCCTGATCCTTTTTGAGCAATCCGCAAAAAGGTTGCCCAAGCACGGTGGTGCACATCATATCTTTTTCTAAATGGGGGTTTATTTCCAACGACCATGTTTGAGGGTGTTTCCGCGGTGCTAACCAACGTAATTCTTGCACCAGGGATGCTCTTTTACCTTCCTTTTGGGGATTGGGTTGACAGGTCTTCGAATATTGACACACCGCGTCATCATGTTCTTGCAGTCACCTCAGGTACAAGTCGTGGAACCAAGCTGAAATGGCAGAGAGTTTGCCACCATTCTGCATCAGGATCCTTCTGTTGGGGAAATGACCCAAAACTCAGTTGTCTGCCTCGGCGGATCTTCTTTGCCCAAATCCGAGCTCCGGGCTCGTCTCCTCATACATCATGAAGCGGGCCTCGGGTGATGGCCGAGTGGAATGAAGCAATTTCCATTCCTCCAGGGTCTGTCTCAAACAGGGTATCTCAAAACCAAAGCCACGAGCTAAGGACCATGTCCAAATAGGCTTGTCCGGAAATAGGACACCCAAATGGGGGTCCCCCTTTCACGTCCCCAACAAGCCCACCTGAAAGAGCTCCCATCCAAAGAAATCAAAGAAGAAGGCTTTAACTGTTCTTCCCAGCGTCCATCTCCCGCATGCTGTGCCAGCCGCCATCCGCAGCGCAGGTCCAAAAGTCAGGGTCCGCGAGGCTCATGGCACACGATCGAATGCTCCGGCCGCTGCGGCCGAGTTGATACGATGGAGGTGTTAGACGTCAACGGATTCAGGAGAAATAAAATCGCCATCAAGTACCCTGACGGTATTTCTTCTCTGTCTGCTCTGTCTCCTGATCTTCTGTTTGTTCCCACGTCCTTGACGTTCAGATCTCGCATGCTTCGGCTCTTTGCTCCAGCCCAAGCCTCGGCTGAGGCGCGCACTTTGAGGACCCCCAGGCCCCCAGACACATCTGTCAACGCGGATGTGGCTTTCTTTTGCTCGCTGGCGCTAGGGAATGAGGGAATGAACCTGGGGATTCCCTCAATGGAAGCCACAAGGGATGGTTTATAGGGGTCATTCCCTCATTCTTCGCTGAGCATCAGCAAATTGATTTATTTAGCTATATCCGTTTCCAGCAGCCAACTTCGGTGAAACAAGAATGGCAAGCCAAGAATGTCGTGCAGCCTTTTGTGAGGTTGGTGATCCCCGGTCCTAATTGAAGCACACTCACGGTTTCGGCGGCTGTGGGCAGCTTGGAACCCATTTTCCTCGACGAGCGAGCCATAGGCCGGTTTGTGGGAGGAAGGTGCTCCCTGCACACTCCTGGAGCAACCTGACCTCCATAATTGAGCATTCCTGACACGAAACCTGCGCATCACACAACAGATCTCATGCCCATGTGCAACAAAAAACAACCAACCACTTGGACTCCCTAATCTTCAGACACAGTTTCTTGTCGCAGATCTCTCAGAAGAACATTCCCCTCCGCCGGCGGTAGCCGTAACCTCCACCTCCACCACCTAGCGTACGCAAAGGAACTGCTTTATCAAAGCGACACCTGTGAAAACCAGGTGGCATGCAGCTCCACGTGAGCCTTTCGGACCCTACCCGACACCCGACGGGAGGTTGACTTGCGAGGCGACGGGCGGGATATCAAAATCCCCCGCCTTTGCGCCAGAAGAACCGCAACCAAAAGCTTCGCCCCCCCCAAACCCCCTGGTTCTCTTTTGTTCTGCGCTTGCTTCACGGTATTCCACTCATGATGCAATTCGCCTGCCATACTCTTGGCTCAAGGCTTGTGCATTTGTTGTAGCTATCTCAGAAAGGAAAACAAGTACGCTTTGCCTGATTGTGTGGATTGCACAATGGCTTCCATCAGGAAACCAATCACTGCCTTTTACCTGGTCTTTGACCTCTTCCATTTACATTTTTATTTCTGCGTCGGAGCAGATCCTCAACCAGGGACCCACGAGACATACATCGCTACCTCAATTGTGAGCAGGCTGGTCAACCTGGTAATGGATCCTCGGCATCGTTGGACATGCAGGGGATGCTACGATCATCATCATCATCATCATCATCATCATCATCATCATCATCATCATTATCATCATCATCATCATCATCATCATCATGGTGATCATCATTCTTAGTATCATCGTCATCATGATTGTTATCATGAATGGTGGTGATGCTGACGGTTCTCATGATCCCTTTCTTTATATGTACATCTCAGCAATGGCCTTAGGCACAGTTGGAGATGCAAAGGATGCTTGGATGATACTTATCCTCGGCATCGTTGGAGGAGGGGCCGCTTCGATGATGCTTATCATCGTGGGACATGGGGGTAAGTGCAGGAAACTGACGTGAAATGGGAAGTGAGGTTGAAGTCACGGGAAACTAAGAGAAAGGACTGCGAATGAAGGGGTTCAGGGAACTGAAGGGAGCTGAACGGAAATGAAGCGAAATGAAAAGAAGTGAAGGGAAATGCAAGGAAACTGTCGGACATGCAGGACGTACAAAGGAAGGGAAGTTGAAATCCCAAATCCCGGGAACTAACGGGAATTCAAGAAAAAGACTGCAGATGAAGGGAACTGAAAGGAAATGAGAGAACGGGAAGGGTAAGGTGCCCGGTGGCCGGCTGCGTCGCGTCAGCGTGTAAATCCGGCCGCGGCCAACTGGCCGAACGGCTGTGTCGGATCCTCCTCCTTGGTCCTTTCAAGCAAGGCTCTAGAGCGAAGCTCCATGGGGCTGCCGCCCGATGCCGCCAACCAGGTTATGCGGAGGATGCGCTTGGGGGGTCTGTGAAGAGGAAAATGATGAGCATCACCTGCATCCTCTGCTTCTGGCGGGTGCTTTTTTGGGCTTGTTTTTTGGGTCTGGTTCTGGGTCTGCAGCCTTGGGCTTGTAAGTCTGCGGGCACGCGCGCGCTGCGTGTGTGTGCATGTGTGTGTGTGTGTGTTCGCGCGTGTCCACGCATGCGTGCGTGCGTGCGTGCGTGTGTGTGTGTGTGTGTACACATGTGCGTCTGTGTGCTTGTGTGTCTGTGTGTGTGTCTGTGTGTCTGTATGTCTGTGTGTGTGTGTCTCTGTGTGTGTGTCTGTGTGTGTGTGTGTGTCTGTGTGCGTGTGGGGGGTGGGTGCGTGCGCGCGTGCGTGGGTGCGTGGGTGCGTGCGTGGGTAGGTGGGTAGCGTGCGTGCAGGCGGGCGGGCGGTCAAAAGGACATGGCGCAATGACGGTAAATGGATGGCTGGAAAACTGATGGAAAATGTTTGGGAAATGGAAATGCTTAGCCGCCCTTGCAAGAGTTGAGCCTCGCGATGTTGCCGCGGCCTAGGCCGAAGGCCTACCTTCAGCGGCACCCCCTGCCGCCGACCATGAGCCGAACACGCGCCGACCACGTGTAGGCTTTTTGCGCTGCGCCCGCACTAATAAGGGGCGAAGGATTTATGGATGCGTCTCCCCGCAGAGTCAAAAACGATCGTTTTTTGGGGGGTGCCCATAAGTGGGCAACATCCCCAGAATCACCTGCATCATCCGCATCCTTGGCGGACATTGATGCGAATGATGCAGGGAATGCTGGGGATGTTGTCCACGCCAGTGGGACACGTGGGGAAATGAAAGGAAATGTAGCTGGAAATTGATGGAAAATTGATGGAAAATGTTGGAAAAACGGATGGACAAGTCAGGCAAAATGGATGGATAGAATGAAATGGAAAACGGATGGAAAAAAGGATGCAAAATTGAGGGAACATTTGTGGAAACCAGATGCAAAATTGATGGGAAATGTATGGAAATTGCTTGGGAGATTCATAGAAATTTGCTGGGGAATCAGTTTTTGCAAATGTGTGGAACTGTCATGGAGTTTTTTTGGAAGGATGGAAACCGGATGGAACATGGATGGACTTTTGCTGGAACACAGCTAGCTGGTGGAGAATAGCTGGAACAACTCGTACATCCTCAACTCTACAAATCTTATTTTCCTCAAATTGCCAAATCGTTTGAATCATAAAAACTTAGAATCTGACTATCTTAAAACTGTTAAATTCTTATAAGATTGACATATTGAAACCTTGCGATGTTAAAATCGTAAATTCTGAAAAGCTTCAAAACTAAAACTTTAAAATCTTAAAATGGATGGAAATGGATTGAACATGGCCTGGATTGAAATCTTAAAACCCTTCAAATCTTTAAAGCCTCAGTATCGTAAATCAAAAAGTCTCAAAACCTTACAATCTTAAAGTCTTAAAATCATGGACTGGCAGTAGGTGGGTGGGTGGGTGCAGGAACGGGCCTGATGGGCTGGGCTCTCAGTGGCCAGCTGCATCGCGTAGCGTGAAAATCCGGCCTCGCCGTGCTGTGTTGCCCAAAGGGCGCATGCCTAGGCTTTGCCTTCCGGCTGCCGCCGACCCCTCGTCATCACCGCTGGGTCGGCCATTGGAGCTCGAGATGGAAAAAGGCTCAAAATACTGCAAATATGCAGCAACACGACTGCATTGCCAGCATCACCAACGCTTTCCGAAGATGCTGTGCTAGGCGCATCGCCTGCATCCCTTGCATCGCCTGCGTTTGGGGCCATTCCTGATGCACACGCGTGTGAGCGCTCGCGCGTGCACTCACACGCAGGGCGGGCGGGCTTGTGCGCGCGCACTCTCCCATCCCATCCAATCATCCGATGCAATCCGTCCATCCATCCCTCCATCCATCCCCATCCCATCCATCCATCCCCATCCCATCCCATCCATCCATCCGTCCATCCAGCCATCAAGCCATCCATCCATCCACCCATCCACCCACCATCCATCCAGCCATCAAGGACTTTCGCTGGCACGCGAGGATGGTGCGCGGAGCGTGAAAATATTAGGTGGAAAATTACAAACATTGAAGAATACAAAATAACAATACAAGATATTAAAGAGACATTGATATTATTGATAAGCATTTTAGATATGCCTATTGTGCCACCACCCACAGCAGACAGGGAACATCAATCAGTAATAATATGACAATCCATGAATGGAATAAAGATTATTTGGTATGCAGGGAGTGGCTCTGGACAAGTATCACACGAGCAAAGGATTTTAACAATGTCTATGTTTTACAAGAGCAAAGAAGGGGAAGAAGATATGTTTAAGAGTTTAGTAATCAACTATTTTAAGAACAAAGTTGAAGGATGTAAACAGCAAGATAGAGTAGCAAAAAGAGAAATAGATGAAGAGCAATATATTGATGAAATTGGTGCCTAACATACTTTAAATCCTGTTGTCAAAACTGCGGAATTAAATTTAATCTAGACACAAGAGCCGGTAAGATAAGCTCCAACTTCACCGCTTAACGGTTAGACAATGAATTATGCCATACAGTTGAAAACTGCACCGCCTTTTGTGTGTCTTGTAATTGTAGTGCCAGTTAAAAGGGTTTAAACAAAAGAGAACTTAACATAAATAGGGATATGAGTAATAAATATCAAAACGGACAGATTTATAAAATTGTAGATGTAGGATATGACAAATGTTATATTGGTTCTACTTGTGAAGAGTTAAGCCAAAGGATGGCGAGACATAGGGCGTGTTATGAGTTATATGTGAAGGGTAAGTCTAAGAAAGCAAGGTCTTTTGAGTTATTTGACATCTATGGAGTTGAAAATTATTAAATTGAGTTAGTTGAGAATTACAGTTGCGACAGCAAAGAAGAACTTCGTCAGCGTGAAGGACATCACATAGAAACAACCAAATGTGTCAATAAATACCTTGCTGGACAAACTAAAGATAGATATCACCAAGACAACTACGAACACTTCAGAGTTCTAAAGAAGAAACATTACGAAGACCACAGAGACAAATATTTGGAACTTCGGACAATCAATCATAATGAAAACAGAGAAAGAGACCTTCAGTGTTCAAAGGAACATTACCAAACACATAAAGACACGATAACATCAACAAGAACAGAAGTTGCACTGTGTGGGTGAGGCTCTCATTTTACACTAGGTCATAAAGCAAGACACGAAAAATGCAAAACACATCAGGAATGGTTAAAGCAACAAAAACCTGAAAAAGAACCACAACTAGAAGAATTAGATTAAGATAATTTCTTGATTATTTATATGGCATCTAAACAAAACAAATGTAGCAAATATCTATTGTGACCGTGCAGGCGTTGGGTCGCGACAGCGGACTTCAACAGAAGCAAAGGCAAAGGATGAAAGTAGAGCTATAAATGATGTAAATGAATTATTTAGTAAGAATGTAAAGAAAAAATAAGACCAAAAGGTTATAATTCATTTATTCCAAAATATGCTAATTGTGAATACCAATTTGATTTATTCTTTATTAATGATATTCCAAATCAAAAACTGAAAGTGGGTGCATTGATGATAGATATATTCAGCAAGTATATGACAGTAATACCAATTCCAAGCAAAAATGAAGGTGATGTCGCAAGTGCATTGATTGAAGGTTTTAAGAGAATATGGGTAATCATTGTGATGAATACAGGAATAGTTGAAAGAAAAGGCATAGAGCATTATACAACAAGAGGGCACGCTTCATTCAGTGAGGTTGCCATTAAAACATTTAAAAAGATGTTGTATGACAGAGTTGAAGCAAATGAAAAAGGGGTAAAACAAATATAAACTGGCGTGATTTTATTTTTGAAATATTATTAACACATAATAATAAAATGGGGCATTCACCCGCTTTGTTCCAGCACATGCAAGATTAAAAAAGAATGATGTTGAGGTAAAAATGAATATTACACTGCAAGCGAGGAAGAATAGAACCTATCCTGAATTACATATTGATGGCAAAGTTAAACTGGCAAGGAAAAAAGGAATAGCGGAAAAACAAAGAACATCTCACTGGCTGAAAGAGACATTCACAATAAAAAAGATTGAAACTAAACTAGGTCAAACCCATGTTGATTTAGAAGGCAGGGATAAGGCATGTCTAAGACATGAATTATTGAAAGTTTAATTTTACGTCTTAAACGAAACACACGTAAAGAAATACTGACTTAATATATTAGTCAAAAAGTGTTGTGAAATAGAGCAAGAAAATATTGTCAATGAATTATGAAATACAATTTATGTAAATGACATGATTAAAACTATGAAAACTAAAATGATGAATTGTCCTTGGAAATTAGAAGATAAAAAAAGTTTAATTATGTAAATTCAATTTACCTCAAAGTAATATTAATGATATATGTACATTTAATTACCAAGAATGTAAAGACTGTCAATACTTAAGGAGACTACCTAAAATTGTTGAAAGAAAAAACACATGTAAAGCCATTGATGGTTTAACATATTTGTTTGTTAAATGGCATTTCTTTCCTGAAAATAACATAGAAAAATGGATCTAACTTCTCATTTAGAAAAATAGACTGTCTAAACCACATGTATCAGAAAATAGGTAATAATAATAATATAGATATGGTAATCAATATTAGTAAATTAGAAAAATTCAACTTAGATAGAACAATGGCCGATTTTAATAAGGTGATCAAATATATATATATATATATATATATATAATATATATAATATATATATATATATATGACAACAAGAGATATAGAAAATGTTTATGCTGTAGTCAATTTGTAGAATGTCCTGTGTTGAAAATGCCACCTTTTGAAGAAGATGAACCCATACACCTTGCAATAAAATTGAATTGTAAGATTTATGTTGTGACATATTTTGGGATTTATATGTTGGGATTTTTGGGATCTTGGGATCTTGGGATCTTGGGATTTAAGAATTTTGGATTTTAGGGAAAAATGAATGAGCGAACAGCCCCCAATTGAAATATTAGAAAAGTTGCTTTGTTGGTGGGATTTTATCTGAACTGGGGGGGGTATATTGAAAATGAGAAGCAAGAACAAAAAAACAGTGGAGGAGAAAACAATTGCTTAACTTTCATAATGATTATAATATCATGGGTGGTAAGGATGTTTTGAAAAAAATGTTGTTTGAAACGGTCGGCGGGTGGATTTTATCTGAACTGGGGGCTGATATACTAGGTACATCCCCCCCCCCCCCCCCACCAACCCCCCCCCCCAAACCCCCCCCGCACCAACCCCTTCCCCATCCGAAGCCCAAACACTCCCCATCCCAGCCTCCCAGCAGCCCGCTGGACTGGATCATGTTCCACAGCATGTACAGCTGAAACCAGTCCTGCAGCCGGCGACCCGGAGCAGCTGGAGCCATGTGAGTCAGCTACCATCGAAACCTGGTCTAAGAGAACCCATGCCAAAAAACCCAGACCCAAACCCAAACCAAAAAACCTGGTTGAAGCTCTACCCCAAACCCAGGCCAAAAAAAAAATCAAGGCGCGGTTTGGCCGCACCTATGTCTGGCTTGTCCTCCATATTTGCCGGAGAACCCGAGAGACCGGCGAAAAAGGCGCGAGCCGCAAGCGACAAACGCGCTGGTTCCATTGAGCGGCCATGCGATGGACGGGTATGATGCCTTTCCAGCAAAGAACAGCCAGCCCGCCAAGGATGAGGTACGTCCTACGCCCGCAGAGTGCACATGCGCGAATCTCAACTCACAAAAACAGACAAGGCAGTGCGTCAAAATAAGACCTTTCCGCTACTTTTCGCTGAACAAGATGAGTCTCTTTTTTGGGTACCCCCCTTTTGGCGAGGAAAACCAAAGGAAAGGCCATCATTTTGGGGATCCCCAGAGCCATATGACGAGTCACTGCATGCCACCGAAGTCGAAGCTCCATCCACGGCCACCATCTTGTTGTCTGTAGCTTTGGCTGCCATAGCCTGGGAGAGATCCGCGTGAGTCACGGCCCATGTCAATTCATGGGCATCCAGTCATGGTTTCTCTGGCAGGATCCTGAGGCCCTTCGAAAAACATGGCTATTGCGCTTAGGCCACGCAATTGGGCCGGTTGTTTGCCCCCTGAAAACACCGCCCCCAAAAGGGAGGGAAGCTTCCCCCCCGCCCATTTTGACACGCCCCACATGACCAGCCTCCCTGAGTGCCAGCAAAGCCATCATCATCAAAGCCAGACTGGCTGCTGTAGAAGTCCTCTCCTGCCGCTCGGATTGAAGAGCACTCCACACAGACTGAGCCAATTCCCCCATTCTCTCATTGACCAAGGACATTCCCTGCCTCTTGGCTCTCTCCATTCGCTGTCGAAGTTCCGGCGGCTCGAAGAGGTAGGCGACTTTGTCCTGAAAAAGCTTCAGACAGCCGGAATGCCAGCACATGGCAAAAACCAAGCGTTGACCGCAGATGTCATTCCTCGAGAATGCGCCAAGCGACGAACTTTAAACATCTTTCAAGTTCACACTGGGAAAGGTACCGTTACGACTTCATAGATGCCTGAGTCTTCGAACGTGCGGGTCTCTGACTCTCCTGTATCTCGAGCCAGCTTGCATCCACGACGCCACCACCAGAACAACCTAAGCGAATCAGCCCACGCAATGGCCGCGCAAAGCACGCAGCACACGCCAAAGACGAGCATTGTAGGTAGGCGACCACAGCCACGCCCAACAAGATCTGCCACCACTCGTAGCCGGACTGCGCTACCCAAACCTTGGCCCGGAAATCTGGTTGAAACTCAAGGAGCTTGAACCATCAATCCCAAAGAATCTGGTCCTCCCCGAGAGTCTCAAGTCTAAACTTATCCTTTTGGGCACCTTCTGAGCCGAGAAAGACAGAGAGAGAGAGAGAGAGAGCGAGAGAGAGCGAGAGAAGAGAAGAGATTAGTCTTATATAACATCCTTGTCGACCCCAAAGGGCCCTCTCTTTCGGGATCGGGAAATCACCCCCAAAAAAAAAACTTGTCGCATGCTCACCTTGCACCAGTCGCCTTGGTCTAAATCTCAGCTGCGCAGCCTGCACGTTGGCGCAGCCACGCTGCAGGGCACCTTACGCGACGCGTGCGAGGCGCGCAAGCGGCGCTTCGGAGGCGCCGGGCGCCGAGGCCTCTGCGCCCAGCGTGGGAGGCGGTCTCAACACATCGCTGCCACCTTGGGGCGCTCTCGGACGGCTGGCTGGGCTCTGGAAACTAAGGCTGGGGCAGGCCGTTTTGGTCTTGCAACCGCAGGTTCGCCCCCTTGATCTTCCTCGCGACACGCCGCCAGCTTCAGATCAAGCTGAAACAATCCACACGCCAGTCGGGGTGGTGACAACGGGTTATTTAAAAAAGAAAAGAAAGAACAAAAACTGGCACCACCTGAAGTCTTGTGTCAAGCTTCTTCGTTCCACCACCACTGAGCTCCACAATGTATCTGCCGGACGCCTGGCAATCAAGCGCATGCTCATAGATTGCCCAACAGCCATGTTGCTGAGCTCAACCCGGAAATACCGACAGCCCACGCTTCGGAAACTCTTGTTTCTAGCTGCGGACTGCTCAGACAGCGGCCCATCCGGCCACGGCACCAGATCTGGGTGGACCAGAAAGTCAAGCCGCAAGTACCCTCCTAGGATCATGGGTCTTTCTCTGGGGGTGGGTTGGGGTGGGGTGGTCAGTTAGATAAACCAGCCTTGCCAATCCTTCAAACCAACCGCTCGATTGCATACATCCGCCCACCGTGTTCCAGACATACCATCACAAATTGAACACTCTGTGTACGTGTTGAATGTATCAACATGTCAGCGAATACAATCTAATCCAGATTGTTCCAGTAGCTCGTTCAATGTGTCGCCCCTTTTATGTTTCAAAGTTAGACGGTCCAAGTCTTTTCGGCAAACTCAATCTATGCTTGTGTTCATAATCTCAGCTTTCGAACCTCAGTCCCCAGTACCAAATACAATGCTACAGGCTTCTTCTTCCTGCCAATTTCTGTTGTGTGCTTGCTGATGTCTAGTATGTCTGCAGTTTGTACAAGCTTAGCATGTTTATCACTGTTGTCATGTTCAAAACGTAACAAGGGTGTTTTTTTTACAATTTCATTTAGGACACTCTTGTATGTCCATATCACCACGTACCAAACTAAGTTATTCACATGCAACTGTACGGCCACTACTGCACAAACAAACATGTATATGTGTTTTGGGGGATAGCCTCTGGGACAGTGAGCAAGTCTGAGGAATTCATTCCTTAGAATCAATGTAATCATAGACATCGTCTGTCATAGTGAGTGAATCCCATACCCTCGCCAAGTACTGTGACCATACACATGCGTGCTTTCATGAGGTTTTAACCAACTCATTGTTTTGTATAGTCGTTGTCCCTTTGCTCATAGCGCGTTCCAATTGGCTACATACTCAGCTAGACGCACGTCTTTCAATTTCACTGTACAAAAACAACAAAATAATGCACAAGCTGGGCATTGGGATTTTCCTTTGGACGTGCCATTGGTGAACTTACCAATGGGTATGCTAGTGATCAACTTTGTTCCCTGCAGTTTGGTGAAGACACAACGCAAATTACTATATAACACTCGTACCAATACTATTGAAGTTCGCTTGGTTCCCCTCCCCCTTGACGGCCTGTCAAATTGTGGACGGATTGAGGTGGCAACATCAGGCCCGACGTTCTGGGTCCAATTCCAGGTTCTGGGAGGAATTCGAGGTCATTATGAAACTCCGTGGCCGGCCAGCTTTTCCCATATCCAAAAAGCCGCCCAGGCGGCAACCCCGACTTGCAGTCGGCGGAAGAAAAAGTCCGTTGCTGATCGAAACAGCCATGTGGCCGAACGAGACTTCCAGGCGCTTGGCCGGGGAACCCTTCCGTCGAGCGGGGCCTTCTCTCTTGAGCGGCGTCCGGACAGGCAAGCAGCAAACGCTGCAGCCGTTGAGCGACCTTTAAATGAAACTCAGCCGCTGGCTGCATCGGATCGCGATTGGCTGACCCCCTTGAATCATCAGGCCCTGGTTCCAATGCTCCAATTCTAAACTCAAAGGAAACCAAATGTGGACTCTCTACATCAAGGACTAAAAATTCCGCGTGTTTGTGGCGCACGGTTCATCGCAACACTTTCCTTCTTCAAGTCAATCGCCTTGGGGCCTCGGAAAGGCGAGCAGCATGCCCCTCATCCATTTCCGGCCAAACCTGTCGTGCAGCCTTAGGCCGATTGTCTCTGCCAACCGCAATTCGCTGTCACTTGGCCCATGAATTAGATGTGAACGTCTTCAGATGCTGAAAAGGCCACGTAATGAATTGCACTGGCCCCGGCACAATTGAACAACGCTCCTACGCCCATTAGATCCTTCGGCGCATCTTGGCTTCTTGCACAAACAAAAACATGGTTCTTTGCAGCACATCACTGATGAACAAAACCGCCAACTAAAACACATACCAAGAACTGAGAAGAAGTTAAGCCCTTTTGCCAAAAGGCGGTTTGCAGGGGGAGCTGCAAGCTCGGCTCCTTGCAATTTTCCCGCGCCGTGAAACATGCTCGAACCCGAACTGAAACACAACCCGGAGCTCAAAGCCGCCTCCGGATGCTCAGAGTCCTTAGATTTCCTAAAACAATCGCCACAACTCAATGGGCCAAATGGCTTTTTTTGTGCTTTCCAACCCTTGGGATACTTGCAACTAGCTTGGCTCTTGGCCTACTCAAAATGGAACGAACCAACCAGAAAAACTAATACACATGCCAACTGTGAAGTGGCCATCAAATGGGTGATGTTTGTATCGAGGGAATTCAAGGACCAATGGCTCAGTCAGGTCGGAGGTTTCAGAGCCCTTTCGGCCCTTTCCGTCGTTCGAATGGAAAGCAAAGAGGCCGCAGAGTGCCGTGACAAACCAGCTGTGTGACTGAGATTTACTCTGCAGCTAAAACCAGAAAAAGGATCCCGAAGTAACGGCCTACATGTTTCCTCGCTTTACTCCCAAGTGAGCGCCACACAATGGAAAGAATTACAAAAATCCCAAAACAAGATCCGCCGACCGACAGCGTGTTGGACACCAGAACCGCAATTTCCTGCTTAGCTGCCCCTTGCCTCCCCCAGCGGACGTATCCGGACTGCGCAGGTGGGGAGGGGGGGCCTTGTACCAGCACCAAAATCACAGACCTAGAACACATGAGAAAAAGGAGTCAAACAGAAGGTCCCGACTTGCGTTTCGGGGCATTTCACAAATGGCAAGGGAAATATCAAACGATACCTCGCGCGGATTGTTGTTTGTGCTCTTTCACGGGACTTGAACAGGGGCCTTTGGTTGCCTTTGTTTTTCAGTTCTCTTCCTTGGCTGGGCGTGTGTTGCTGTTTGTCTGCAACTTCCTCGTCATTGTTTTGGACGGGTCCCCAGAAGTGCTGGGGTGCTACTGCTGCAATCCAGCTCTGTCACGCTGATGTTTCTCGTTTTCATTGTTTTGTCCCCCATTGGTTCCTGGAAAGGTCCCCGCAGGACTTGAAGGGACCGTTGGTTTGCGTCCTGTTGGTTTTTGGTCTCTTCCCTAATTGCACCAGCAGCGCCCCCATTCATCAAACCTGGGAGCTGTTCAGAAATGCAGGCAAATTACAAACAAACACGCATCTAATTACAAACAAACACACACAAACGGAGTCGAACCAAAGGTTCCTACTCAAGTCCTGCGGGGACCTAAGCAACGAGTACAAACAAGAAAAATGTAAAGCATCAGCGAGGAGCTCATCACTAGCAGCCACTCACTAGCACCCCCATCCGGGGTCCCAAAAACAAGCAAGGAAGTTGCAAACATACATCCACACACAAACAGCAACGGAAAGAAAATGAACAAACGGATGCAAACCAGAGGCCCCTACTGAAACCCGTGATTGAACGGCAAACAAAACAAAACCAAGCAGCATCAGTGCGACACAGCTGGATAGCATCAGCGGCACCTTTACAGACCCGTCCCAAAAAAGCCAGAGGAAGTTGCAAACAAAGCGCTATATGGACTGCCAGCCACGGAAAAAAAAAACGAAATACGCAAGGCAAACCGAAGGAAGCCACTAAGGTTTTATGGGGTTCCCAAGGAAAGAATGCAAACAAAATGGAAACAAGAAACATCAGCAGAACAAAGCTTGACCGCCTCAAATGCTTCCATTACTACACGCACCGCACTTGTGAATCACACAATGAATCGCGCCACACCCATCTCTGCTTCTTGCACGCAGCCGTGCGTGACAACTTCCTACCGCTGTCCTGCGGCAAAGAGACATAAGCCAACGAGGTAAAGCAAAAGGTCCCTTGCCAAATCAAGTTTCTCCTGCGCACATGAACTGTATCTGTAAGACACAGAAAAGAAAACAGTCACCCCCCTCCCCTTAATGCATGGCTACTGAAAAAACATCTATGCAAACCTCACGGATGTCAGCAACCTCCCGCTCATCATCCGCAATAAAGTTTTAAACCTCTTGGGCCTTTGAGTTGAGAGATCCAGCTAACAGCAAACAGTTTGAGCAACTGAACAAAGAAGGTAAGGGAAGTCCGGAAAATCTGCTCAGACATCTCCCAGCTGCCTCCTTACAGTCCTGCGAGCGGCTGTACCAGCTCCAGTGGGGTTTCAAACACTGCTTGCTGATCGAGCAAGGACCAAAACCAACGTCTTCCTTAAGCGGCTGCACAACAAAAACTTCCGAGTTGAAACACGTGCTCAAAACAAACCACATCTGCAAGGCCGCCCCAATGGCAGTCAAATGGTATTCAGAGCGTCTGTGATTGTCATCACACTTGCAACTCACTTCCTGAGTTTATTGGCCAACAAACGTCAACACTTGTTGTTTGCCACTAAACCGGTCCAAATCTCCAAAATATGAAAGGGAGTGCGACTATTTGATAGCTATTGGGGATCTTTTCCGCCAGCGCCGTTCAGCTCTGAACGTGAACAAAAATCGGAGCCCTTGGGGCCTTCAAGGCGAGCGTCGACGCGCCATGGCCGCCCTGCGAACCTGCACTTCCCTCCTCAGAGCAATCTCATGGCTGGGAAGCACGTCCAAGAACAGCTGCAACCTTAGCCCGGACAGAAGTTACAGCGGTTCAGGAGTGTTCAAAGCTAGGCACGGCCAAAGGCCAAAGGCCAAAACGGGGTTTGTGGGCGGTGGTCAGGACGAGGATGGAAAGGCCAAAGAAGGCAAGAGGGTAGTCACTTTAAACCGTCAGCAAAGGCACCTGGGAACCCTGTCCCATCTTTCCGTCGCCTCTGGTCATACATGATTTTTCTCTTACCCAGAAATGTGTATTCAAAAACTCCTTTTATAACTATTATTCACGTTGCTCCGTGCACAGTAACGTGGAATCCCACAAAATCTACAACATCTCCTTTTGGTGCATATATATATATATATATATATGTGTATATATATGTATATACACGCATGTGTGCTATCCCA